ATTTTCTCTTTTCCCCACTAGAATTAAGAGAGTTGGGAACTTCTGGTCTGTGACCCCTAGAAGGAAGCCTGGAGAGGACTCAGTAGATATTTGTTGAGTATTTGTCAGGGGAGATAATCCTGTGAGATTTGTTTCTTTCTTTAATTCTTTCAAGTGATGTGTTACATGGATAGACTACTCTTAAACCAGCTCTGCAGTTCCTTGGACAAACCCAGAGTGGTTGTGACGGTGGCTTTTTTGGTTTTAAAGTCTTTTCCTGCTATCTTGTTTAGGATTCTTTTAAAAATTGATTGAGAGGTGAAACTGGTCTGTAATTTTCCTTCATCTCATTCTAGTCAGGTTCGAGGATCAACTCTCAGCCAGCTTCATAAAATGAGAAGCGCCCTTTGCACGTGGTAGAGAATGCTGTGCACCGGCGAGCACTGACAGTACGGTTCCTTTCTCCTGTAATCTGTGCATGTGTTACTGGTAATGAAGGGGTAAAAGTGAGCATTTGTACTGTTGCTCCTAATGAACTATTCACAGAACCTTTGGCTTTTTACCCTGCAGCTGCGCTCTGCTGTTGTAGAATTCTTAACAGCCACAAGGGAGCACTTCAGTTAAGGAGGGAACCGTGGTTTCATTGCCTAGGAGGCGCGGTTCCTACCTGACCGTTTCGGTGTCCGTGTTCCACTGAATGAACAGGCAGTAAGAGGGACCATATCAGTTGGAGGGACTGATGCTGATGATGCGGGGAAGAAACCCAAGGGATTCGTGGCACCTCGCGATGCTGCTGTGTTCAGTGGCAGAAACTAATTGAGACCTAGTCCACTCACCCCACCCCAGACAGCACCACCAAGGATGCAGGATAGCTCAGACGTGGGTGCTGGGGTTCCCCCATGTCTCCTACAGAATTCTCATTCAGGAATTGCACCTGGCTGCTGTGAACAGATTGGAGATACGTGGCTTAAACAGTACAATGGTTTTTCAGTCTCACTTCCAATAAGTCTGGAGATAGGCCGTCCAGGGCTGCTAGGGCAGCATCCCCAGGGTCCTGAGATGCTTCTTGTCTGCTCTCCATCTTAGTATGTGGTTTCTATCCTAAGGTAACCACAGAGTCCAAAATAGTGGCTGGAGTCTAAGTTGTCACATGTCCATTTCAGGCTGAAAGTTGAAAGAAGGGAGCTGGACAGAAAATGGGAATTGTATATGAAATAGCAGCCTTGGCCCCAGATTTTTTCCACTGGCTAAATGGGATAATTTTAGAAGGCTTTTAGAGCTCCCAAAATAACTTTATACCCTGACCCTCTAAAGCAAAAAGCTTTGGAATGATTGTTACATTATTGACTAAGTTATTCTTTGGCTTAGTGTTTTCATTGGTGGTTGGCAAAAATAAAGAATGTCCCAAGATTCAGAAGCCTAATTTACCCAGTTAACTCTCATGTGAGTTATAATTTAATGATACGATTTTTAAAAGGTAGATTGTTTGCTTTCTGTGTATTTTAAAAATCCTAAGAATTTCCATATATCCTTTGCCACATTTTTGTCTGTGGCCTTTTAAGAGTTGATAGCTTTCTGTTCACTTTTTTTCTTTGTTAGTTTTGTTTTAAAAAAGAACTGTCTTAATGGGTTTAATTTTTGCCAATTTCTGTGGACGTGGGGTTTTAAAATGTTTTCTTACCATGTTTTCTTTGAAGTTAGTGGGACTATTAAAGAGTCTGTTTATCTTTTACTTGATAGAAGCAATCTTTTAACAGAAACATTTGCAAGTAAAAGCATATTTTACAAAGATGTCAGGATTCGAGGATGTCATCACTGTTGGAGTTAAGAATAATTTTCCTTTGAAAATAATTATCAGTTTGATACAGAACTTCGTAAGAAGCAACGTCTCTGTTTCGTGATAGTGGTAGCAGCATTTTTTTCGCCATTTGCAGATATATAAGCCCACCTTGACATTAGAGCTGATCTGAAACACATAGAAATGTTAATTTAATTCCATCTTTACATTTTAACATTTACGGGCTGAAGGAAGAAGTCTTTCTGAAGGACACTGAGAAAGAACTGTCAGAATACTGGACGATAGCTTAGAACGTGGTGTTGGGGAAGCGCAGATGTGGAGCAGTGCCGAACTCGGAGGGGATATTAGTCTCTTCAGAATCGTGTCTGTTCCCCACTTTCTTCCGCCAGGTCTGGATTCCTGGAAACTTTGTCTTATTCTGGATATTCCTACCAGCAACATATGACATTTTTGCTTGCTATACACCTTCATATCTCTTTAGAGCCGGTAGCTGCGCCCACCCGTTTTGACTTGGGCCATAATAAATACAGTTCTGCTAGTTCAAGAACTTCCGTAAGCTTAGTCATAGAAAATGTGCTCTTGTGTCTCTGCTCGTTTTATTGAGCTTAAGGTCTGTGAGATTCATGCTTGTCACATGTATTCATAGTTTATTCTTTTTTTTTATTACTGTGTAATAGGCATGAATAGGACTGTAACACTCAGCCTGTCCATTCACCTGCTGATGGACGTTTGGATGGTTTCCAGTGTTTGGTCCCTGTTAGTAATGTTGCTGTCGATTCTTGTTGGGAAAGAGTTAATGCATCAGACTCAACACTGTTTGACTCTCACACATCTTCAAGGAGGTCCTGCGCCTATGGCTGGCCCTGGGCTAGCACCTGGGAACCTGGCCCTTGGGTGTTCCCTCATGTTACTGATGGATAAGTGGTTTCATGCAGCAGCCGAATTTGGAACCATGCAATCTCAATTTGTGTAGACTGTTTGTGCACTTGATTTACAATGAACTCTTGCTTTTCCTCCTGGGGTCTGTACTTTTGGTAGTTACAGCTGGTCACTCAGGCACATGTGCCTGTATTATAAGTCGCCAATTAAAGCCCTGGACCCTGCAGTTCAGGCAGGCTTCTCTGGGCACGAAGACTTCACACATGTCGCTGCACTTCATTGCTGGAGGAATAGAATGGTTCAGTCATAATAGTAGGGGTATGTCTAACTTGGTGAGAAGCTACAGAACAGTTTTCTACAGTGTCGTGCCGTTTTACACGTCCTCTGGCAAAGTATGGGAACGTCTGTTGCTCTGTGTTCTTGACAACACTTGGTATTGTCAGTTCAATGTTAGCCATTCTGGTGGGTCTGTAGTTATCTCATTAGGGGTTTAGTTTGCATCTTCCTGATGACCCATGACGATCAGCACCTTTTTAAATATGCTAATTGCCCCTTTTGTGTATCTTCTGTGACTAAGTATCATGTTGTCTTTTGTCCATTAAAAATGGGTTGTTTATGTTTTATTGAGTAATAGGAGTTAATTTTACGCCTTATTATGCTGATGCTGAATGCATATGATGGTAACATATGTTTACAAGATCAAGGATGACACAATTTCAGGAATACCAGGGATGTTGATGAAATAGTCTTTAGGCTCCTTGGCTTTGTCAAGGTCAAGGCTACAAGCAGTAGACACAAGTGACGTACTGAGTGAGGCTACAGCCAAACCTTACTGTATCTGTCTGTTTGTCAAAGTTTTTGGCACGTGGCTATCAGCCCACTAAACTCTGTTGTGCTCATTTTGGGTTTTCCCTATTCTGCACAAATTACTTAATTATTTTAATCATACTATTGATATAGTATTTAGGGTGATTTATAGTCCTTTCCCTTTCATGTTTAATTTTCTGAAGCTTTTAGAATACTTATTTTGGTTACTTTTTTAATATTTGTATATTTCCACTGGCTCTCAGATTTGTAATAGAGATGTTAATACTAACTACTCTGGTTTGTAGTAGAAATGCCAGTATTCATTACTCTTAAAGATTTACTACCATTATTGGTTTCTCATAATCTTAAAAGACTGCATAAATTTCCCTAAATATCTCTAGTGCCAGAATTCTGCATGCTGACAGTCATTTTGTGATTGCTCAAGATAAATTAGCTCTGACCTTTCAGTAATTTAGGGCTCTGTTAGTTCTGAATTTTTTTTAACCTTGTTGCATTTAGCAGGGTCTGTTTCATAAGTTGCCCCAGTTAAATGAGATAGACCCAAGTATTTAGGTCATGTTTAAAAATTCTGTAGTTCATACAGTCATTCTTTCCAAGAGAATAAGTAATTTAGGCTTTACTGTACGTCACTAACAAATACCTTTTTTAAATAAAAGAGTACACCAATTGTCATCCTGTGACTGCTTTGCATAACTATATGGTGACTGTTTTTCATGAACTTAGGATTTATGCAGATAAATGTAAATGCGAAGAAGATTTTAAGAGCAGGTTTCTTAGGTAGATTTGTTAAATCTCAAAAAGTTGTTTATGTTGTTTTTGTTGTTAAATTTATCTTTAGCTGTTCAAATTTTGAGTTCTATATTAAATTAAAAGAAATATTTTGACTTACCATGGTTGAAAGTGTCTCGAATCTAATCTTTTAAAGAGAATGAATAGTCATTCCTGTCAGTTAGCTTCGACTCTAACTGCTGTTTCGCTGTTCTTCCTGCTTTTTCTCTGTCTTGATTTGTTATAAGACAGTTTCCTAACACTGCGTATTTTAAGCTTAGATTGGGGGAATTATTTGTATAAAAGGACAGTATCAATGATAGCCGTTTCTTTAACTTGAGTGACTGACAAGTGTGTCAGCTGTACTCACTCCTAAGCTGGGGGAAATACAGAAGTTAAAGCCTGTTTAAATGAGATGCTTCACAGAAGGTCCTTAGCACTGTGGTGAGTACGGAGTAAGTGCTGAGATGTTAGCTGCTACAATTTTATTGGCATAGTTACTATCATTATTATTGCTAAAAATTGCCCCCTGGTTAACTTGAATTATGATTCGTTATGTAATGATGCTATTAATTTCTTGGGACAGGGGCCAGAAAAGGCTGATTTGGACATTGCATATACACAGGGAATAATGGGTCTAGGGGTCAGATGTGGGGGTGAGTTTGGGGGGTGTGTGTATATCTATATGAAACAATTATTAGGGTCATATGTATTTATTACAACTCACCTTTACTATTTCTTTCCACAGCCTTATATTCTGTTATATTATTCTGCGTGTTTTTCTGGATCCCCTTTGTCTACTTCTACTATGAAGAAAAGGATGATGATGATACTGGTAAATGCACTGTAAGTAGCTATATTTTAGAGGTCTCAATTTAGGGGGAGAAAAGATTATTTCCTCTTTTTTTTAAAGGATGATGTGAATTTATTCCAAGGCAGTGTTGTTTAATAGAAATATAACGTTAATCCACCTGTGAAATTTTAAATTTTCTAGTGGCCACATTGAAATAAGTAAAAAGGAACAATTGAAATTGTTTTTCACGATCCATTGCGTTTAATGTAATGCATTCCAAGTATTATTATTCCAAATAGTGAAAAACATAATGGGATATGAAAGTTTTTCACACTAAGTCTTTGAAGCTCGGAGTGGATTTTACACATACAAGCGCATTCCACTTGCAGCGAGGCGTGTGTCAGGTGCTCAGTGGCCGCGTGGGACCGGTGACTGTTGTTTTGGAGCAGTTGTAGAGCAGGCATCAGCAGACTTGTTTCTGTAAAAGGTCAGGTGGTAAATGTTTTAGGCTTTGTAGGCCTTACGATGTCTCCGTCCCCACCACTCAACTCTGCTGTTGTCGTGTGAAATGTGGCGAGACAGTCCTCGGTGAGCATGATGTGAAAGAGGAGGGGGCTGTGTTTGGCCCCCAGGCTGTGATTGGCTGACCCCTTGTCCTGGGACCTAAAAAAGGGACACATGCAGACTGTTCTTGCTAATTCAGGGCACCACTGATGCAGAGCCCTGATCACTAGGAGAGCACATGCATGTCCAAGTCTGCAAACCAGTATCACTTAAGTATTGATATAAAATTCTTCACTAAAACATTAGCATGTAGAATTCAGGAGTATCTTTAAAGTACATTAACGCAGTATAACTGAGTCGGGCCTGCCTCTCGATCGCATGGGTGGTTTAGAACCAGCGCATGAATATATAGTAATTTAGTAGGTCCAAGAAGAAGCTGTGTGCTGAAAGGTATTTGTCAAAATCAAATACCTTTTTTCTGATTCAAGGGGAAAAAAGCAGCATAAAAGGAATAAATGTCTTTGGTCTTTTTATTGGGTTGTGGGAATTTGTTTTATACTTTTTGCTTTATATTTAAAGACAAAAACAAATGTACTCACTCAAAAGCCAGATTTATGCATAACCGTGCTTATTAAAACCTTAACAAATTTGCTTTAAGATCATGAGCAAAGTACATCAATGCTATTTTAAATGATTCCCAGCGTGGTAAATTCCCAGACTGATGTGTTAGAGGGAAAAATAAGATGTTTAAATATTTATAAAGAAAGTCAAATTATTATTTTTAGATACTATGAAACTCTGTATTGGAAAACCCAAGATATGTAAGGTCAAGTGGCTGGTTATACATGCAGTGTTAGAAACTGAACGTGGTAGACACTTTCTTCTAAAGCACATCTTCTCCGTCCCCTTTTGGTTGATGCTCCCTACCTTTAGGTGTTTTCCTAAAGACTCTCTCAACTTCCTTGTGGACAAGAATTTATCATATGAAGCATGAAGTTAAATTTTAAAAGATGATTTTTTTAGAGATTTCATTAGGCTGAGAGACAAGTAATGTTTTTTTTTTTCTCACTGATTTAGCTTCTCCTTTGAGATTGACTTTTCTTTTCCATATTTAGAATGTCCAGCTTATGTTTTTCTTTATCTTTGGATTACATGATGGGTGCCAGGCAAAAGCACAGGCTTTGAAGACCTGAGCTCTTGGTTTCAAGCCCTTATTTAATCACTTACCATCTTTGTGACTTATGGCAAATTATTTAACCTCTGGGCCATTTTCCTTCTCTTTAAAGTAGGGATGGGAACACCTATCTCAGGGGTGTTGTGAGAATGAAACGAATTAACGTGTAAAGTTTTTACCATGATCCTGGCATGATGTGTGTTTTATATACTTCTATGTATTTACATAGATACATATATGTTTTACGTATTTTATGTGATGTTATACATGTATATGTTTTATGTTTTATATATAAATATATATACATACAAACATATATATAGATTAAATATTTATTGTAATTATTACTTAACCCATTTTGGTGAATTGGGGTTGGGCCATTGTAAATTCTGATTACTCCTTGTTTTGAGAAATATTTCATCAAATATTCTGATAATTTTACTAAAGATGCCCAGTGAAGAATTAATTATGCCTTAGGTGTACTGCTTTTCACAAGGTCTAGCCACTGAAAAGATTTTAAAATCTAATGTAGCTTACAAAGATACTTAAGATGTGGTATATAGATTGGTTTTCTTTAAATTTAAAAAATTTTTTTAACAAAAGAAACTTTATACAGTTGCATATAAATGTATATTGTATATGAAAGCAGTTACACTATAGCAAGAAAAGTTTATATTTTAAAGGTCTTACATTTTTTTCTTTTCCTGACATCTAGCAAATTAAAACGGCACTCAAATATACTTTGGGATTTGTTGTGATTTGTGCACTTCTTCTTTTAGTTGGGTAAGTCTTGAATTTTTTTCTTGAAAATGGAAATAGCATTATTTTAATAATAATAATAATAATAATAATAGTAATAGACTTATTCAGAAAAACCTAGGAAAGACAACAACAAAATACCAAAAAAAAAAAAGAAAAGAAAATTTACCTTTTATATCAGCAAAAGGAATAGGTCCATCATTGACCTTTTGGTCTGCATTGCTGTATCTCGATCCTTTTTATGTGCTCAAATCATGCAGAGTGCCCCTCCCGCCATGCGCCCTCCATGTTGTAGGTTTACACAAGTGTGATTAGACTTTATGTAATTCTTGGTAATCTACTGTTTAACATATTGCAGGCATCTCTTGAGGTTGGTAAATGCAGACCCATCAATTTTGTTTGCACCGCATTCGCTTCTTAGGATACGACAGTTCATTGGGCTGATCTTCTAGTGGTGACCCTTGGACATTTGTATTATAATGTTTGCAGTTTTTCTATTTTTATAAAGAATGCTTTGATGAAAATCCTTGTCTGTACATTTTTTTCAGATTTGATGCATCAGTCTTTAAATCATTGAATTAATCTTAATCACTGAGTTACTTTCTTAATGCTGCTTCCTTCGGTTTTAATCTACTAATATCAATACAGTTTTGCACACGTTTTTATGCTTAAAATTTTCTCTTTGGAAAACGTGTCCTTGTTAATGGGAAACATTTATCTTTGTTAAAGTAGATCTTGATTATTTTATATGTTAGGAAATAGATGAGGTACTAATAAGCTTTTTCAAGTTTCTGTTTATAATTTGATCAGAATTTTCAATAAATAAAAAATGTATTTGATAAATAGAGTTTTTGGTAGGAATAAAATTGGTCAGTAGCTTTTTGTGGTTCTAGGAGTTCTTAGAACCCAAATGTTCTATAGTTAAGGCATTATTTTTAGTTCCCTGTCTTGATGTGTCAGGAAAAAGAGTACTTATTGAAATGACAGTTTTTAGTGGTTTTGCTATTTATTTTAGCTCTTAAATATGTAGATTTTGAAGTCTTTTTGGGCTTTTTAAATTAAGCCAGATCCAGTTAGGTGAATTTGCTTTGTTAATGTCAGGACCCCCTAGCTGTAAACCTAAATGATCTAGAACGGATCAGCCAACTTTTCTTAGAGGGTAGATACTGTTTTAGGTTAGGGGTCCATGTGGCATTGCTCAACTTTCTTCCTATAGCTCTGAAGTTGTCATAGACAATTCAGAAACCAAAGGACATTACAGAGTTCCAATAAAACTCTATTTACAAACATAGGCAGTCAGTGGTTTGACAGCTCCTGATTTAGAACATGATGGAGAACCATCAGTAAAACCACAAATCTTTACAGAATCTGGAGTATCTTTTCTCAGACAGAAGGGATCCTGAAGTTTATCCTGAAACCACCATGTCTTGCCTGGGTTATTGCAGCCACTTCCTAACAGGCCTCGTGCTTCTGCTCTGTCATCCTAGCCCGTCCTGTAGAATCCCAGAAGTCTCCTAGCCTTCCTTTACTTTGTCTCACCTCTGTTCCCTGCAGTCCCTGCTGGTGTCTTCCCATCTCTTTCCTGTCTCCTGCAGAGATCGCTGCCGAAATCCGCGGTCCCTCCTACCCTAAGCTCCGTGTCAGGTGTTGTTCAGCCACATTCTTAGAACCTGCTCTCTCATTTTTTTTTGCAATCTGGATAGGCAGGTTCCTTTTTCTTAACTTATCTCTCTCCTCTCACATTTTACTGTAAATGGTAAGGAATGACCAACCTGCTCCTTCCAACACTTTGCTTAGAATTCTCCTCAGCGAAATACCCAGTTTTATCTCTTACAAGTTCTGCCTTCCATAAAACACTACAAAAGAATTCAGCCAAGTTCTCTGTCACTTTATAATAAGGATCTCCTTTCTTTCAGTTTCCATTAGCACTTTCCTCAATTCCATCGCAGATCTCCCCAGAATGACCTTCCGTGTCCATATTTCTACCAGCATTCTATTCGCGGTGAGGGGTGTATTCTCTGAGATGACGGAGGCTTTCTCTGTAACTCTCCTCTTTTCTCACTGAGTCCTACCCTGGATTGCCTTTAACCTCCACATTTTTTATCAAGTCCCTTCAAGGCAACTTCGGTTTTCTCTGGCATGGAACGTCAGAATTCTTCAGGCCCCTCCCTGTCACTGGGTTCCGAAATCACATTCACATTTTCAGATGTTCATTACAAAGTAGCAGCCCACTTCGTGGTACCAAAATCTGTATTAGTCTTCTTGGGCTAACCTTAGTGAAAACCTCTGTCTGGGAGCTTAAACAGTGGACCCTTACTTCTTCACAGTTCTGGAGGCTTAAAGTCTTGATCAGGGCGACAACAAATTTGGTTTCTGGTGAGAGCTGTCTTCTTGACTTATAGATGGTCGCCTTCTCCCTGAGCCTTCCCTTGGCCTTTCCCCACCGCTGGCAGTGGGGAGAGAGAGCTCCCCTGTGTTCCCACTGGATCAGAGCCTGACCCATAGGTCCTCATTTAACCCTAATTACCTTCCTGAAAGGCCCTGTATCCAAATACCATTCACACTGGGGGTTAGGGCTTCAGCATGTTAATTTGAGGGGAGGGGACACAATTGAGTCCATACCATACAGAAACTGAGTTGCTAAAGTCAGTGTGGAATATTTAAAGAATGATATAAAAAGTATAATGTGGATTTAAATCCTCTCTCCCTCAATACCAAAAAAAAAAGTATAATGCATTTCAAGTGTTTGTGTTGATAAGTGACAGACCACATAGGTTGACTCTAGGTCTTATATACAGTATTTAAGAAATTTTGAGTTTTAAACTGCTGGGCAGTTGAAAGACAGTGAAGACGTGTATGTATTTGTGTGTGAAGGCATGAAAGTAAACAGGCATGAGTTTGTGTGAGTTGCAGCAGTGGAAAGGATGTGTTGAAAGGGGCATTTGGAGGAGTTGGTCAGGGAAGTGAAATGTGAACTTCAGACCAGGAGCTGCATTACTTTACCACCACAGGCATTCAGGTGAGAGGTGAGGGTCTGAACTGCAGTGGCTGCAGAGAGCAGAGAGGAAGAAACAGATTAGCTAAATTAGATTAGATAAATCTGACTCTGTGATTGAGTGTAGGAGGAGAAAATCTTATTTTCATTTCTTATGAATTCATCGTTTCAATTTCATAATGAAATGCATGAGTCTTCCTTTGTCTCTTCCTGGAGAGATACTGCATATGAAGCCAATTTCCTGAGTCAGGTCGCGTGTACAATATTTTAACTGAGCAGTTTTTCAGTCTTACTGTTGTTAAGGGTATAAGGGACATTGGGCTAGCTGTAACCTCGTAATCTTAGGGGTTTCTGATTCATATGTGGATCTAGGAATGTGTGTCTTTGAGAGCTGAGTTTCTCTGTATTTGTTCTTTTGCGAGGGATGGAGATTAAGAAATTATTTGTACCTTCCTACCACACAAATCTCATTGCACCCTACTCTTGGTCACTTTGGGATTGTCACCATGTAATAAATGCCTAATGATTGCATTAGCGGCTGCCACAGCAGAATGGGCGTGTCTGTGTTCCAGGCCCATCTGACCGAAGGGGCCTCTACATCCGGTGGCAGGTGCTCCTTTCTCCGTCTGGTCTTTGTCTGCGGGGCCGGTGTACGGCCAGCGAACATTGCGGTGCCCGCTCTGGTCCTTCCAAGGCTGAGATGCCATCAGGCAGTAGCTGCTCTGCCCTCGTCTTGCCCGACCTCGGCCTGTTCCAGGGGAGAGCCTGGTTCACAGGGTCCTCCAGATGAAGGCCTGCGTCTGTGTTGTTTGGTTACTGCCTTTGACACCCTGGTGGTTAAACGTTTTGAATATTATGCTCGGGATGTACAGACATACTTCGTTGTGACTCTTTTGAATCCTGCCTGTGGATGGTACTCTTAGTTTATGAGAAGACGCTTTCTGTCTGTCGCTGGGATCACACCGTCCTGGCAGCAGGGTGGCCGAGGAATCCGCTTTGGGTTTGTGCTTCTGCTCCCGCCTGAGGCAGTAGTGCTGAGGTGTTAGCGCCCCGCTGGGCTCTTCAAAAGAAGTGTTTTCCTAACGTCATTCTGACACTAGTTTGGGCCATTTAACCTTTTTTTTTTTTAAAGTGTTTGGGGTCATGTAAAGTTTCCCCTAGTGTTATTCTTTGTTAAATATTTCAGCTGCTAAGGAGCGCGGCTCAGCGATTTGACCATGAAAGTGTCATCAAGGGCGAGAGTTAATTTTCTTCTTCTGCAGGGCGGATCCTTCGATGAGCTGAAACTGGTTAAGAAGCTGAATGTTCTAAGTCTGAACGCTGATTCTAGATATTTTTAATACTTATTGCTATTTTAATAGTACTCTAGGTGATATTTTGTACAACATAAACATTTTCCCCCATATTCACAGAAGTGGTTCTTCCCAACTAACAAGTCCAAAATATATGTTTCACTATGTATTATATATACATATATAATACAAAATTACATATATATAAATTATATATAAAATACACTTTTAAATATATTATTTGTGTAAAATATATATAAAATACAAAAATATATTAAAATATGTATAAATATAAGAAACTAAAAAAACTGGTCAGTTAAAATAGAGGAATATTATATATGGATAGTTTTTTCTTGATTTATATTTTTGTTCAAATGCTAATATATAAGTTAGTACCATTACAGAAGTGCAATATTGCAAGAATTATTTTTTTGTTGTTTGATTCCCCCTTACTGCTTTTATTTAATTGTTTTGGATTTTATAGCCAGGGCAACGGATAATGAACTTTTTGCATTTATTGCTCTATCCTTGTGAGCGATCACTTTTCTCTCTAAAAGAAAGTGAGAAGTAAGTCTCCAAGATTGAGAAGAGTGTAGTAAACTGATGTCAGTGCAGGTAGTTAGAAGTTTAAATAAGAATAAGAATAGAAAGAATCAGTAGTACCAAGGAGTGAAGGTTTTTATAATTTAAAGATTTAGAATAGTTACTTTGTTTTACTAGCACACATTGTCAGAGCCGGTACTGTAATACATGGCTGAACTCATTCAGTATTTCCTCTTTACAGAAGAGGATACATCTTACCACTCTGCTTACAGTTACACTTAGGTTGGAAAGGAGGTGGTGTTAGGGTTACTTGTCACGTTCCTGTTTGATTCTCCACACATATGATCCAAGGGATATACCCCGCCCTTTACCTTAATCTCTTCTTTTGTTATTTCTGACCTAGATGATAAAGTGACTTTCTGTCCTTCTGTCTGTTTTTCTTTCCCTCTCTCCCTCCCTTTTTTCTTTTCTTCTTTCCTTCGTTTCTTCCTTCCTTCCTTCCTGGCTTTCTTTCTCTTCCTTTCTGAGCTGTGGATTGAAAAATAAATAGAAACTACTTGCTTTCATTATATGTATTGGACAGAATCTTGAAAGATACAGAAAAATACTAAGAAGAAAGTGAAAATCACCCCTGATTCTACAATGAGATATTTACTGTTAATTCTTGTGTATTTCCTTTCTGTTCTTTTTTATGCACATAAACATACTGAAATCATTACTTATATTTATATTCTGTTCTACTGACGTGATGAAGAGATAGCCATGGCCTTTCTGACAATCTTGAGCCTGTGTCTCCTTCTCAAAATGGTTTTAAGTGCGAAAAATAAAATACACAGGATTACAAAGGAAACTATTATACTGAGTACAGTAATTGAACTATTTAAACAAATCTGTGATGTAGTAAACGCATAGATAAGAAACTTCTCACACCCCTCTGTACATGGTGCACATCTGATTTGCTTATTCTTTTGGGGGGAAAAGTTGATCTTTGTTTTAAAAAAGTACTAAAAATTGAGTTTGAGGCCATTTCCTTTTATTTGACCTTTTGTCTTTAAAACCGTTAAACAGAGTTATTTTCTCCTTTGTAGTGCTTTTGTTCCATTGAATGTTCCCAATAACAAAAATTCTACGGAGTGGGAAAAGGTGAAGTTCCTGTTTGAAGAGCTTGGAAGTAGTCGTAAGTATTCTTTTAACAAAAATTCATAATAATTCATATTTCATGACCTTTGCAACTTTTTTGAGAAACAGTCTATTTTTACACTGTTAAGACTTAACTTCACGATTCTTTTAACTTGTGGTTAAAAGGATACTAGACCAATTAGGAGCTTTTGTTACTGAGGCACACTTCGAGCCATCTAGCTATTACATGGCTTGCCTCTTGACTTTGTAAAATTACCATATTGAAAAGAAAATGTAACCCTAAAAGTATTTTAGCAATAAAAGTCTTACAATTTCTATGTGGTCATTCATTCACTTAGGATAATACAGAATGGTATGTTAAAGGTACCAGATACTTATTTTTATTTTTAGTTTTTAACTGAGAGAACCCTATATTGCTGTTTGATCATGATTAAGTAATCTTTTCATGGAATATAAGTTACACAGGTTTTGTGTGGATGAAATAATATTTTATTATAAATTTGCCTTATCAAAGATCTTGGAATTGCTTTGCTAGAAGTTTTCCTCTACCTAATCAGCGTGACCTAGGTTTTCAGAGGGAGGAAAAAGCAGATTTAGGAAGTTAGCTTAAGAGAGTAGCATAGTCATTGAAAAGTATACTTGGCACTAGTAACTGATATCAGATAAGAATGTGCACCTTATTACTCAGAATGTCATGTGCATTTGAGCATAGTAACTTTATTTTCAAAGAAACCTAGAAGACTTATAAACATTGTGCTGAAAATTTTTATTGCTTTTGCATTTATTCCTTTTAACAGGTACTGAATGTTCGTTGATGAGCCTTTTTTTTTTCCTGTTTACTCAGATACAATATTAAGCAATGATTAAATTAAGTCTTGGAGTCTTTGCTGTACAACTTCTTAATTTTCTTGCTTTCCACTTAAGATTTCATCTTGCAAATTGTGGTCCATTAATATCTTGCTGATACCAGCAAGAACCAGGATAGCAGGCCTGGCATCGACTGATGCTGAATTGTCAGGATTTATGCACCTGATCCCATCACTGAGAAGTAAATTGCTTCTTTTCCTGCAGTTAACTCCTTCAGGCCTCTTGAGTAACCAGTCTTCTGCCCTAAACATTATCCTCTGGGCTTTGCTAGTCTTTGAGTATCAGTATAATTTGAGTCAGTGACTGTATAGGTGGCATTATTGTAATTGCTGTCATTTCATTCCCTTTAGGGTTCACATTTTTAAAAAAATCTCAAATCTTAAACACCACATTTTAGGGTACATTTTGCTTATCACTAATAGTAATATTAAGTTTTTTGAGTGGCTAAGGACGTTAGCAGAATACTCATTTCATCAGTTCTCAGGTGCACATTTTTACACGTTTTCATCTCTCTGATTTGGTGATACATTTTATAAGTGGGATTACCTTAAAGTTGCTATCAGCCAAATGCCAGACCTCGCCTAGTCGAATGAATACTTCTTGTTGATATTTAGTAAGATGAAGAAGGTAACAGTATCAGTGTCTTTGATTTGATAAAATGTAATATTATAGTTAAAAAAAATTAAGTCTTAAAAATTTGCTTTGCGTAGCTTGTTAATAATATGCTCTTTTTAAGTGTCAAGTTTTAAAATGGAGATGTGAGTTTTAAGAATCTAGATCATTCTAATTTCATTATTATTATTCATGAGAAGATTGATATTGACGCATTAAATTAATCAAAATTATATTTGGTTCCACAGGACCTGCATTTAAACTAGATCAGTACAGGTCCAATAAGACCTGTATTAAAACTAGAAAAATTAGTGTTTACTCCCATTTAAGAATTTTCAGATTTGCATAGTCTTTCTGCATTGTCTGGTATGCTTAGCTGAAACTGTCACTCTCACGCCTCACTCACTGGCTTTCCTGTGAGTAGTTTCCTAAATCTCAGTGTTAGCACAGTTTCCCTGATTTGGTATTATGTTTGGATCTATTTTCTATTTGTTTGCTGTTTTTTTTTCCCTGCTAGCTAGTTTTCCCTGGAGCATGCTAGCTCCTTTCAAGTTAAAGAGTGAAATAAACTCTTTAAGATTTCAGTTTTAGGCTATATTTTAAAAACCTATTTGAAAATTAAGAACAAAGGAACCAGAAATATCAAGATTGAGGGTAGAGGGAAGAGTCAAGGTCAGTGGGATTCCTATCATGTCGTCTCTCAAGGTCTGCCATGGAGAAAGGCCAGGAGGTTTTTTGCCAACTTTGGGGCATCTAATATTCTGTGGAATTTTTTTCTAGGCTCAGTAATTAGTAATTTCCCTCTTTAATTTTATAAGGTAAAGGAAAGAAAATCTTAGTCTGAAGGATCTTTAACAAAGAGCTCTTTAAAAACTCATTTCCACTTGGAGTTAGCGCTTTAGGAACAAGGTAATCCATTGGGTTTATTCCTTCAAAATGTGTAAGAAACTCAGTTTTTATGTTCATATTGATGTGTTGAAATAGATGTTTGAATAGCTAAGCCTTTTTAACAGTGTTTTTCTTCCTTTGCAGATGGCTTAGCTGCCTTGTCATTTTCCATTAGTTCTCTGACCTTGATTGGAATGTTGGCAGCTATAACTTACACAGTAAGTGTAATAGTGATAGTTGAGTTAAAACTAAAGAATCACTTGAAGCATTTTTTTTGCTTTATTTATGTATTTAGTTTAGCTGTTTTCCTCTTTTAATATTTTAGTGCTTCATTTTTCTTGGGTTTTCTTTACTGAAGAGGAGGGTAAATTTTTAACTACTTAGTCATAATCATTTTATTTGTATCTGTGAAATTTAATATTTAGAAACAAATTCTATAACTTACGAACTTTGAAGTGGTTATATACTATGCAGTAGTAGATGTAGTGATTTATAAGCATATTAGATGGAACTCTGAACCATAGATCAATATCCGTTGGTAGGTTTGTCCTGTTTGGGGATATAGAACTTTAAAAATCAGATATTTTACATAACTTGATTTTTCTCTAGTATAAAGAATCTAATCTTATACTCTCCAAGACTTTGATTTTTTTTTTTTAGTCTTTCTGGGAATGGTACGATGTGAATTATAGTAACCTGACAAACTTGTGTACCGGCTGCTTTTTGAGATTTTTTTGCTTAAACTGTAGAGGAAAAGCCAGTAATAAATGCTTCTTACCTGCTTCCCAAAAGAGAGTTATGCAGGAAGCTTTAAATTGTATGGTATCTTTTTCAGATGAAAGGAGTTAATCTTTAGAGCATTCTTGATTCTTGCAAACATGGAAAATACTGGTTTTAAAGGAAACATTTTTGGATATTGTTCCAACATGTCTTCCTTTAGACATAAAAGAAATGAGCTGTTAGTGTGATAGCAGAATCAGTTTTGTTACACAATCATTCAAGTGTCACAATGTATAATAAAAGTCTAAAATACATGCATTTCAGTATCTTTTCGGTTCTCAGTTTTATTACTCATTGCCATTTTTGCTTTTTTCATGTATTACTACACAAGGCATATATCAGTGGGTAATTATCCTTCCATCTCACAGAATATATGTACAGCACATGAATTGTCTTTTAAGAGACATTCACTAGTTAATGACACATTAAGAGTTGGATCCGGACTCGAATTGCTATTTTGTGACTGATTTGTTACGCTGATCTTGGGTTTGTCTTTCAACACTCCTCGGTCAGTGTCTTCCACATTAAATGGGAATAAAAAAATGCCTCTTAGGAATTTTTGAAGGTCAACTGATACTTTCTGTAGAAGTGCTTTGAAAACTACAGAGAAATGAGTATAGAACAGTCAGTGAAAGATTACTCAGGAAAAATAAATGGAAAAAGAGGAAACCAATATGTAAGGTCATCACCGAGAACTGTGAAGGATCTGGGATTTTACCCTGCTTCTAGCCTGCTACATTTTCATGGATGTTGGTCAAAGATGCAAGTCTTCTGGGCCAGAGACAGAGAACTTTGTCCCAGTCACAGCAATAGCAGTAGCCTCACGGCCAGCATTGTCTGGTTTCCTGAGTCCCATGTCGCACCAAGTGAGACTGTCACATGCAGAGGAGCCTTGCAAACGTTTAGGGAAGCTGAGTCTTTATAATGGACAATAAACCTACCTACCCTTGCTCCAGAGGAGGATGCTGTCTTTGTCTCCCGAGGCCATTAGCTGCGCAAACATTCTTGAAAAGACAGTGCCGGAGGAAGGGCAGTTAGTGCCCGGCTGGCAAGTTGTGCAGAAATGAGGGACCTGTGGAGAATTGCCCCCCCAACCCCGTCGCGTACTGGATGCCGTGAATATGCGGACACGGGGCAGCTGCAGAAGGGGACAGACAGTGGTGGAGGCTGATCCCAATGTCAGGTCAGCAGTAGCTTCTCTAACCTTTGAGAAGAGACCTGACTGGAGTGAAGGGCCAGGCAGCCATGGGGGAGAGGGTAAGTGCAGGAGTCCTGGGGTCGGCACCTGGGCGATGTATTCAGACAGTGGCAGAGAGGCAACGCCAGCCCGGCTGGAGCTCAGTTACCAAGGAGGGGGGGATGGCCGAGGCTGGGATGAGAAGTAGCCAGAGGGCATGTTTTATATAGAGCACCTTATAGACCTTGGTTAGGAGTTTGCATTTTATTCTGACGGAGATTAGAAGCCACTAGAAAGTTTTAAGTGGAAAAGTAATAGGATCTGACCAACATTTTAACAGTATTACTTTGGTGGGTCTGAATTAAAAAAAGCCATGGGGGTGATAAGTAGGAGTGGGGAAAATGTGTGAAATTATTAAAACCCTTTGAGCAAGGACTTCCCTGTGGAAACAATATTATTGTAAAGATGAATATTTCAAACTAATGTAATACTTTATATTCAAATTGAAACTCATGCTGACTTAGTTAAGGTGTCTTTAGAAGAGCTTTACTTTTCTCGCATGGAGAAGGCTAGGCTGACGGACGTTGATAAAACAATTAGAGGACCTTATGACGTGAACCAGAAAGACATGGAAGAGACGCTGAATAGGTAGGGAGGGGCCCCTTAGGGCCTCAGACCAGGGCAGAGGGTCCACTGTCGCAGCATACCAGGTCAAAATACGTAGGCGTTATATGACGCGTTTCCTAACGTAGCATAAACAGTAAAATTACGATCCTCGGTGGAGAGGCTTAAATGTAGATCCCTCTTAAGCCCATGGGTCCCTTGAACTACTTTACCATCTAGATTTACTCATCTCTAAAATGGGAATAGTATTTAATAAGGTTGTGAGGATTTAATTAAACAATTCACCAAGTCTTGGAATCTATCGGCCACTCCGTATATAGTCACTAGTAGCTCAAAATGTTGAATATTCAGTTTTATATAGTTCAAGCTTTAGACCCCACCTCTCTCCTCTTGCACTGAAAGGAAACCAGATTTTAACAGCAGTTGCATCATGATCGGTGAGAATGTGGATTATGAAAAGATAAGTAAGTTAAAGAGACGTTCACAGTTGGGTGGGTGGTAGTTAATTTGGGGTGTGTAGGTAGACAGATAACCATCATTTGCACTACAAAATATGCTCAGAACTCAGTGGGAGAATGTTTTGCTACCAGACCACAGCCTCGCCAGCGTTGCTACCCAGGTAGGATAGGGAAAGTCCTGTGTAAGGGGGTAGCATGATCTGCAGAGCTGAGGGCTAGTCATGAGTGTGGGTCTTTATGTGACGTCTAACTTCTGAATGCTGGCTTCCCCATCTGTAAAATGGGCCAGTAAAACTTATGCAGACTTTATTAAAAAAGACATTGAAAATCCACTGTTTATTGGTAGGTGGTTTTGTTACAGATGGGTAGTCAACAAACAGCACTGGTTATTTTGCTTGTGAATGTAAGGTTTTCTCCTAGCTTGTTATGGAAAAGCTGGAGAATTGGGCTTTTCTTGGTGAAACACGGATGAGGGTATAGGTATTCATGGGAAGCAGAAGAGGTTTAATTTTGATTAATGTACCCAAAGTGGGAAGTTTAATAATTAAGAGAACTTTGACCCTGAGTACAAAGAATTAATTGCTAAAGGTTAAGTCATGTCTGTTATAGAACCTGTAACTATGAGTAATGAGACTAGAGAAATTTTTGAAATGTATGTGTCAACTGAGTGTGAATTTCTTAGGTATGTTATTGTTTAGTTTAGACACTAGTTGATTATTTAAATTTTACCAAGATCGTATCCACTGTACCAGGTCTTAAGGAATAGCCAGATAAATGGGGCCCTCGATTTTAGGAGAAGAGTGCCGAACAACACGTTCTCTTGCCTGTTGTTTTCAGCTTAAATCGATAGGGTATCTGCTACCTTTTTGATTAAAAAAGAAAGAAAGAAATCTCTAGGAACAAATATTTATGTAGACATTTAAAATTTTTGGTGCCACCAAGTGGGGAAATATTGAATAATGCTATTTTCATACAACATGTATCATACGGACCACTGCAGTGCCTATAAAGCAGTGACTACTGAACTTTTAATTATGTACACTTACCAGTTAAAAAAAATTGAACATGTCTTCTAGGAGTTTCTGAATTTTATATATATAAATATATATACATACACATTGCATATATGCTTATTCTATGTAAATTTAATATAAATATGAAGTAATGGATTAAGGAAAATTAAAGTTGTAAATTAAGGATTCAAAAATAGAAATAAGTAGAGCAGTGGTTCTCAATAATCTTTGAAGACAGAAATCTGCTTTAAAAGTTAAAGCATATGATACTATGTTTCACTGAGTCAATGACACCAATTGTAGGATACATTTTTCTTTTAGGTGCCACTGTAAGGGAATGACCCCTGCCCATGCTTTCTTATCATTTATAATTTTTGTTTCATATTAGAGCTTTTTAGACTTATCTAGTTAAAAAATCGTATCAGTCTCCTGCATACAAAATAAGGAAAATATAAGCGAAATAGATTGGAAAGATATTCCTGAAACTTCACGTTTGGAATGAGTCTTCTGAAGCACTTTTTTGAATTAGTTATTCATGTCCATGTTTCATTATCCAAGATTGTCTTTTGTGCTGTCAAGAGAATTGATGATATAGCTTTTCTCAAGTACTCCACTCTTGTCTCTGGAATTTTTCTTAAAAGCTGCTAACACACCCATCGTGTACATTTAAGCTGTTTTTATTATTGTTTTGTTATATCTTCTCTTGCTACCTAGGGAGCAGAATGCAAGATGGCTTCTGCTTTGAGCATTTTCCTTTCTTAAGCTCATAAAGCTTTTGATTGTCGCTTTGCAAGAAAATAGGGAATCCTGCTCACTGTTCCAGTGTGTTTTTACTTCACTGTTCGCTCCTCTGTTCTCTTTTTCCGTACGCGTTAACTTTCTGCTTCAACGTTAAGTCGTAGTGCTGGCTTATAAGACCTTGTAAGTGGCAGTTCAGCTCAGTAGTTGTACCAAGAATTCATGTCACTCAACTGAAGAGGTTACTATAATGTGACGAGCTGTGACCAAACTTGTGAGGGTGCAGGTAATGACAGCGATGTCATGACTTCTGCCTAGCCAGTGATTATAAGATGCATCTGTATTCCACTGATGTTAAATGTGAGAAAAAATACATACATTTCTTAGAAGGGAAATCTTCACTGAGTACACATTAAGCGAGTTTTTTCATTATTCACAACAGCGGTATAGGTCCCTGAGTAATAGATGTTACGAATATATGCAAGATGTTTATTCAGTTTACAGGCAGTGCCTGGCACTGACCTTTTTCAGTAATCCAA